TCACACTCTAGGCCGGGAATAGAAATTTTTTAAAAAAAGAAAACGAATATACCCAAATCGAGCCAGATTTTATATTAAAAGTATTTTATCAAAGATTAACTAATTGGAAAATCATATGATTGATCATAAAAAATTTATTTCCTTCTCACAATTTCGATTTTTTTTCAAATGATAAATAATGGCATTGTATTGTCAATAACTTCCCATTTAAAGTGATTAAAAATTTATTTCAAAAATATTGAATATTAAATGAAAACTAATCTGGACGGGTGTGATGATTTCGATTTTAAATTAAATGAAAGCGAAGAATATATATTTTCGGGCATTTTCTTGATTATTTATGAATCTTAATAAATATTTTATCTGTTATTTCTTATTTGAATATATGTATACGAGTAATTATATATATAGTATTTTAAAAGAATTTTAAAAAATATTTTCCAAATTCTTATTCTCCTGGGTTCCGCAGCCAAAGTACAATATGAGGATTCCTATCCCTGATATATTCCAAGTTAACTATAAGCTCTGTAATTTAACATACCCCCCCCCCCCGTATGGCCAAATCCATGAGTTAAACATTTTTCATAATTCTTGGGTTTAATATTTTAAATCTTTTTTTTCAAAATGGTTTAATATAAGAGAAAAAATCTCCTTTTTATTCATTTTTTAATTTATCATTATTATTATTGCTACTTGCTGTAAGAAACATTATAATTTAAATCGAATATAGAGTTTTATAGGGGTAATAAAATTTTTTAAGAAATATTATTGTTTTTTAAAAATATCAAGGATAAATTTATTAGGACTAATAACTATTCCTAATACACGATAATTAATGTGGATTATAAAAAAATTATATGTAAAGAATCACTTAAATGACCCAAAATAGAAATTTGAATTTTTTGAACCTTTACACAAAAGGTTTCTTAGGAATAATTGTATTTTGTATGTTATATATTTACAATGTAAAATCCAATCTTCGTTGGGATTGAGCTAATTTTTCAATTATCTCATCCTTGCTTGTCGTCAAATGCCTATGAATATTCAAAAGATCCAAACCTTTCAATCTACTTTCACATGCTGTACTTCTTGGTATATTCTTCAGTGACCTGCAGGCCGGGCCCCTGGGCCGGACAGTATTCCGAAATTTTTTTTTAAAAACACCTGGCCCGGACCTGAATTTTTTTAAAAAACACCCGGCCCGGATCATTTTTTTAAAAAACACCCAAGCCGGGCCTGAATTATTTTTAAAAAAACACCCAGGCCGAGCTGTATTTTTAAAAACAGCCTATATTTGAAATAGTTATTATTAGTTATAAAAATCAATAATAAATATGATTTATTTTAAAATAATCCGGTCCGGGCCTGAAAATTTTAAAAAAAAAGCCGAGCCGGGGCTAAAAAAATTTTTAAAAAAAGCCGGGCCGGGCCTTAAAATTTAAAAAAAAAACCAGGGCCGTAAAAAATCTTTAAAAAAATCCGGGTCGTGCCCTGCAAATGATACTCTGCAAGGCCTCTGTTATTCTTTTTAAAAAAAGAGAATGTTCTCTCATTAGTTTACTAATGTGAAGAGTTTATAAACCATTTTTTGGGACTATATCAACCATAGTTAATCTTATAAACATATTTATTCAGCTAGTAAGGCATCATAAGATACCTTAACATTTTCATAATAAAAATCTAACAAATATATTTTTTTCTTTCACCATCTGAAAAAGGTTGGGAAGGCTTTTGTGGAAGTGATATTTGCAGATGTAAGTGCTGCATGATGAATTAAAAATTCATTTATTTGGGTTATAAATGTATCTGTATCTAAGATATACTCTCTGATCCTATATTAATGTTTTAACGATGAGCTTGCCTTGCTACAAGTCGAGGGAGACAAATATTATACACGTATAGCTCTGCTTTTGACTCAACAATAAAATATAAAATATGAAATTCTTCATCAACATTAGCCCTCATTTCCTTGAGTTCTGATAAAATGCTCTCCGCTATTCTCATCTTCTTAATCAAGTCAATGTCATGTTTTTGAAAAGTAATACTTAAAATAGTTGTATAATTAAATAATACATTCTAATGAGAAATAAAATTTGGAATAAGCATTGAATCCAATAATTTTCTTGCTTCTGAGGAAATATTTCTTTCAGGCCATTATGATATTTCAGTAATATCAAATAATTGTCCTTAAAAGCTGTTACTGCTTGATGGCAGAGACTCTATCTCGTTGGACAAGGTTGCAATTTCTTTTTCCCTGTTGGACCAGAAGTTTCAGAAATAATTATTATTTGACTAGAAATTTGAAAATGGTAGATAAATATTACGCCACTAAAAATTTGAAAATAATATGTAAATATTACGCCGGAAAACTTGAAATCGAAATTAATTGATAAAATAACTTTATGTGATAATAAATGTAATTAAATATATATTTAATATGAGATACGAATAAATATTAACAAATATAAATTAATATAAACAATAATATTTTTGAAAAATATATCCAGCATCTGCATTTTTTGGCTTTTTCCCGCTGCGTACGCCAATGATGTTATTTATTTGATATTTCGATTTATTTATATAATTTAGATCTTATTGTGTTATATTAAAAAGAAAACTAACCTCACCTCAAATTATGATAAGAATGAATATTATTAAAGTTAAAATAGCAAATTAAATTATATTTAGCCAATTGAAAAATAAACATTTATCTCATATTAATTTTAGCGTTAGTATTTATATTCAATCAAAGTAAAATTTATTAATTTTTATAAATTATTTTTATCTCAACCACAATAGGGAGCTCTGCAAATAGTATAAAATACCTATTTATCAATATCTTCTCATGCCAGAAAAATTAATCTCCTTCACTAATCCTAAATACTTATTATAATTTAGATTTAACAAATTAATTTATATTATATTTAGCCAATACATTTATCTCATACCACCACCCCAAAATATGCCAGTATAAAAATTTTATCTCAACAATATTTGAACTCTGGAAATGACATACAATACCAATTTATCAATATCTACACTACATTTTTTATTACAATTTCATATATTTTACAAATTTAATAAAATGAATAAATAATCACCAAAATTTGTCATTTATTTTATATAAAAAAATGTATTTAAAAAAAATTCATATAAATAGTTCAAGATTTTATTATTACCGTCATTCTTGACGGGTTATCAACTAGTATTGAATATAATTTCCAATTTAAAATTATTCCATAAAAATAAAACTCTCCCTAATTTTTTAAAATTATAAATAAACAAAATACAATTAATAAAATGACAGGTTCATCCTATGAATGAATATAGATTTGAACTATAAACATAACAATAAGGCATCTGGGTAAAGTGTAGTGATCTGTAATTTTTCAAGATCGGCCGCCCGAATTTTTTTAAAAAATTTACCCTGTCCAGCCCCGATATCAAACAAATTCCTTTTTTTATTTGTCTCTGAAAATCCAACCCGAAATAAAAAATATTTATCCGCCCAGCCTGGCCCTGCCCGAATTTATTTAAATATAAAAAACTTAATATTTTTTTGATTGTAAAAAAAATATTATACAAATAAAATTGTAGAGCATTATTTCTTGCAAGAATTTTAAAATATATCAATTTATTTAACAAAATGTATATTTAAAAATAGCTTAACCCGCCCCGGTCCGGTTCTTAATATTAGGCCCGACCCAGCCCGAACCGAAATTATTTTTTAAAAATAGACCAAACTTGGCCCGATACCATTCGGGCAGTGATTTGCAGATCTCCATTTTAAATAATATTAATTCCTTACATTTTTCATAAAAATTAATTTATCATCAAAATGCAGAATAAATTTTTATGAATTTGGAAACTCTTTTATTATTTTCAAGAACCGAAACTCCCTTTAGTTTTCGAACTCGGAATATATAAAACAATTAAAAAAACTTTTTTACTAAAATGTATTCCCTTTCAAGCATGGTAATATAAATTGGAAACCAAAATATTAAATTTAAACTTAATTATACCCAGATATCATCTTTATCGAAAACATCTTATGAAATATATTTTTAAAACATTACAATTTACCACATAAGTTATATATTTACTTATATTTGAAACGGGAATTAAACCAATATGGCATTATTATTTTTGAAAAAAAACCGATAAAATTTTATGTTAATGTTATTAAAGCTCTAAAATTATAAATTTAGATGATTTTAACTAAATAAATAAGTTGGAAATTAAGTCAATCCATGTTCTATTTGATTTTTTTAAATTGCTACTTCTCGATATAGCTGAGAGAATGCGATATTTTCACTATTTTTCTACATATTTTTGGAAATTTTATTTTATTTATCTAGATAAAAATTAACCTTTTCGCTATAACAAAAATAAAAAATTATCAGCAGTTTTTTTCGCACCTGAAAGGAAAAGCTAATTAACAGATGTCTATTTTTTATAGTAATTAATGACAGGCCCAATTATCTTAATTATTTTTTTGTTGGTCCCTCCCCAGCTGGAAATATTTAAATATTTTTTAGGCCTCAGTCAGATTTGCGGGCGATACAATAGTTTTGAGAAAATCTCATTTTTAAAAACGATCCGGATTTAGCCAAATTAATATGATGCAAGCATCGAGATTTGGCAAATACAGGTCCAAAATTTTTGGCCATCTGTGAACAAAATCTCCAGTTTCACATATTTTGGTTAAATTTTAATCGAGCCGTTTTTAAAAATCGATCCACCCCAAATCGAGCTTTTTAACAACACTACACTACAATACTGGAAGTCGAAGAACAATAAAAGATTCAGTCAATTAACTCGATTTCATAAAAAAAAGCAAATATTAAAAAGCGAGGGATTTATACAATTAATCATAAAAATGTTTACTTATAATGACAAATAAGTAAATATTTAAAAAACTACAAAGTCCCACGTGCCTTAACCAATAGTATTACTTTCCATTTATTAAATTAACGAATCAAATTATTTTGATCATATGTTTTGAATTTATTTTTTAACAAGGCAATTTTTATAATAATTTTTTTTATTAAAGACTTTCCCGCATAAGAAATTATTGGCAAAACAAAAAGATAATTTTTTAAAATATAAAATTCTTAAACACAGGTTTTTGATAAGTAAGCGTTTTTTTTGTTGTAAAATATATTTTTTTCTTTTTGTTTAAATATCTTTTTTATTTAGATAAGCAAAAAAAACCAAACATGGCATTCCCAATAACGTCTTCTCAGGGCTCTAAAACAGAAACTTTATTAAAATACCTGAATTTGGCTCAGGGTGAGCAGGTTCAGGTTATGTACGTATGGATAGATGGAACAGGTGAGAACGTCAGAGCCAAAACTAAAACTCTCAACGCAGAACCACACAGTATTGAAGGTAAGGTCAAATGTAGAATTTGCTTTATAAATTATTTTCTTAAACATTTGAAATAACAATTACTTTTTCAAAATATTTATTTTTGTAATTAGTAGATTTATAAAATGACGAATTAAATCCTGCCAAAATTTTCATACTCCTACAGAACTCCCTATATGGAATTACGATGGCTCTAGTACTTATCAGGCCGAAGGCTCCAATTCTGACGTTTACTTAAAACCAGTTTGCATGGTCAGTGATCCTTTCAGAGGTGGCAAAAATAAACTGGTCCTCTGTGAAACTTTTAAATACAATTGGAAACCAACAGGTATAATAATCGATTAATATGTAGTCTGATTATTGTATTTATTATTTGCTATCTTAAAAAAATATTTAAATTGGATAATCAACAGATTATTTAAAAATCACCTGATGAATTTTGTAGTTAATTCTGGGAAAATGATCAAATTTTTATATTTGTGGGTTTGATGCTTCGATTAATATTCAGGTCTCAACCATTATTTGAATTAAACTTTAAATTTTGTTCACAGGTTAGAATTAGATGAACATTTGCTTTTTTTCTAAATAGTATTATAATGTTAAATGCCAACGAACAAAATAACTGTTTAAAGTTTGGTATCTTAGAAGCAGAACACTTATTTTAATATTTTCATCACTATTACAATCCTTACGGAAATTTTAATCTACATTTCCATTATTATATTATATAAATTGGGATAATCAATATTCTTTTCATTCACTATAGTCACTTTTTTAGTGAGCCTAACCTTGTTAATAATTAAGGTAGCTCCCCCAAGGACACCAAATCTGGACCTTATTTACATAGCAATATTAATTTATTTTTTAAAATTTATATATAGACTGCATTTCAAAAATTATTCCTAGAATTTTGAATCGGATCTTATGCTTGACGTTATTTTGTTGATCATAATTTTAAAAAAGTATAAGATAGATGGGATGAATGGTATCGACTCCATATTTTATCAAACATTCTATAGCCCGCCTCCCCCCCCCCTACTCACCTAAATTTGACTGCTTTTTAAAATGCCAAAACAAATATATATAAATAAATAAAATACGAATTTTTTTTAGAATGCATCCCTTACAGAAATGGATAGAGGATCCTATTTTTCATACAAAATAATGTAGGGGGAATGAAGTTAAAATATTAAATTTGTCACTTACTATTTTTAGTAAAAAAAATATATGCCAAATACTAGAAATCTAAATAGGGTTTATTTTTCAAGCCTTTCAAATTTTTTTAAACTAATTTGTCCATCCCTACTCGAATTGAATATGTTTAAAAAAAATAATGCAATGCAATCTTATTATTTAAACGCCACCAGTTATATGCTATGATTGTGTATTATTTTTTACTCAATATTATAATCCAACTATTTGATAGATGTTTACAGGGCCGTTGAGTTGTGGACTATATACTATCAATTATTCTTGATAATTTAATATTCAATATATCCTAAACCGATCAAGAATTGAGGATTATTTATATCAAAGATTGAACCAGAATGAACTTTCCCCGTTTAAGTGAATCGAACAAGATTTCATTTAAATTTAAATATAACATATTTTTTACTTTAAGAAACGAACAATAGATTACAATGCAAAAAGACCATGGATTTGGTAAAAGAAGCCGTTCCTTGGTTCGGGATCGAACAAGAATACACTCTCATGGACGTTGATGGACATCCTTTAGGCTGGCCTAAAAATGGTTTCCCCGCTCCACAGGGTAAAGCCATTTATTTAAATTAAATACGTTTTAAGATTAGTCAAAACATAAATTTATTTTTTTTAAAAAAGTTACCCCTTATAAAATGAAATATATATAAACTTGTATGATAAATATAAATATGATCAAGAAATCGAGCAATTATTGCACAAAGTACAGCTTACCGATTATAGCCTTGATTTTTAATAATATCACAGATGCATCTAGAGAATGGAATAAATCAGAAATAATTATAATTGAATAAAATAAAGTATTCGAACTAAGTGGGTTTATTTTTTTTAAAAAACGACACCTTTAAATTTTCAATCATTCAAAATTATATGAGTTGTATGATGAATAATATCGATCATTCTGTTCCCATCCCTCAAATTTTTTTTAAAAAAATGACTAATTGGACTTATCCTTATTAAAAATGTTAATCTCTGATCTCGACCATTTTAAATTTTAATCTCTTAACATATAATCAACTTTTCATAATTCTTAACAGACAAATAATGAAATTATCTATGACAATATATTGGATTAATATCGATTTCTCAAATAATAATTTTATTTTATAATTATATTGGTGCATTTGACCGGTCAAATATGGTCAAATTCAAATGTTTTTTACCCCAACATTAACTTTATTTTGTATATATATAATATTATAATGAATCTTTAATATTAAATTTCATTATATTTTTTAAATTCATTCCATAGTTAATGTTTCACCCTCCGTGGCAGAGTCTTGTTCCTATTCATATTCAATATCATTATTTTCTTTAATATTTTTAATCAATCTTAAGTTATTACTCTTACAAATTTTCCTGTTATAGAAGTTTTCAATCGATTTCTGTTTTTCTTATGAATATTGCCCCAAACCTACCTCTTTCTTCTGAAGAAGTCGGACTAGGAAATGTTAGTAAAATATTAGCTACTTCTCTTAATGGGCAAAGTACATTCCACCAACTTGAAGCCGAAATCTGATTGTTTCTTATGGAAGCTACCACTTTCTACATATTTTGCCTATTAAATATGCCGCTTTTACGTTTGAAATATATAATATCACTTAAAATATTTTGATTATCCGCTACCTTGTAAAATACCTAATTCTTGTATTATATTACATGCTTCATCAAATTCAGTACTAGCAAGATACTCCCTTTGATATTGGGGGGTCCAATAAATAAGCAGCATTGTTAGCTAGCACATGCATTTAGATCATTTTTTCTCATTTCAAACATATCTTTAATTTTTTTTCTTCAGATGGAAAAAATATAGAATCATGGCATGATTGTATTATGTGTTTTCCAAATTAAGCATACCATTTTTTACGTTCGCCAAAGTACATTTATCCTCTTACACTTTCAACAATGAAGTGGCTAAAGATTGGAGTATAGCTAAAAAAATTTAATTTTTCGTTCAAAATTTCTTCATTGAATATATTGGTATGGGATAAATATCACATACAGCTTATTCAACAACTGATGATTTCAGAGCTTTCTTACATATTTGTATATGCTCCATACATTTTATTGACGATGCCCATTTTGTTTGGCTATTTGTACTTAATGTAGATGGTATACCATGTTGATTCCTATTACGAGAAATACTGTAGCTGCTGGTATGTGTTTATTCTTGAAAAATTTAACAATTTTTTTAATTATTGAAATATGATAACTGAAGTCGTTCAAAAGTGAAAGAATAACTGCAATGTATGCGTTGCACAACCATAATCTTGTATATGATTATAAATAGATTCCGATTTCAGAATTCTCCAGGCTGCTTTCATATTAGTGGCATTATCAGTAACTAAAGAATATACTCTTACCGGATTCAATTCATGAATTACATTTTTAAATTTAGTGAGAATGATTATCAAATTGACAATTATTTGTCTTGTGACTCAAGAAAATTTGATTCCATTATCTCTGATCAATCTAAAAGCAAGGCGATTAAATAAATCTCAATCTTGTATAACCTGTTTCATAGATGGAATGAATCCCAAAGAAAAAAAATGAAATTAATCAATTGTTTGCAAAGGCTGTATATGCGAGTAATTACCTTTCCAGGTCACTGAAAATCCCTACATCCAAGAATTCTTTAAAAAAATACGTTCTTTTTACACTTTACCCAGGCGAAGGCAGCTGGCTGGATATCTTCTAGACAAAGCGTCAGGATATATGGAGGCGAGAGTTGCAGATATAATAGAAAAGCCCTCACTTATCATTTGTATCATATGGCTTAAGCAACATCATTAACGAGAATAATATTAATTTTATGGTGATGACGCCTATTCCAGTATTCTACAAATTTTTAAATATGAGGAAAATCGCCATATGGCAATAAATATTTTGATATAATAAACTAGTCTGGATTAAAAGCATGTTTATCAATCTTATTAGGTTACAATTTATTTAAAAATATATTTGTATCATGAAGGAATCGAAAACAAAAGAATATTTTTTATTACTAAAATAAATTTAGCTCTCATGGTTTATTTTTTAATAAATTTAAATTTTATTTAATATTTAGCCGTGTACAAATTATATTAATTCTTATTAATTTTACTTCCACTTTCTACATTTAAATTTATAAATTAATTTTCTTTTTAATTGTTCTGGTCAGATTTACAAAATAATTTATTTAATTCTGGTAAAAAGTTATATTATATTTTATAGAATATTAAATCAAATTATTGATATAATTGGTCGATAAATTCCAAAATATCAACCTCCACAAAAAATCACATAAATGTAAGCTCTAGCGAAGAATAATATTTTAGAGTATTTGACCGGCAAATACTCCTGCGGTCAATTGACTGAATTTGAGCGGTCAATTGACCGACATGCCAACCCTGATAAAGATATTTGTAAGCAAAAGAAGTAATTGTAACAAATAAAAAACATTAAGGCCCCTATTATTGCGGAGTAGGCGCTAACAAAGTTTTTGGGCGAGACGTAGTCGAATCCCATTACCGGGCTTGCATTTACGCCGGAATCAAGATTGGCGGCGAAAATGCTGAAGTCATGCCATCCCAGGTATAGACATTTTTATCGTTTGCAAATACTTATTTTTGGATTTAAGTTAGTGATGTATGATTAAATACTTACTAGTACACCAAAACAAATAATAATTAAGATAATTATGAAAGGCTTAATTTTTAAATTTATTAGTTCAAATCGCATCTTAAATTTTTACCTATATTTCATTCTTAAATTTTAATTTATTTACCATTTCAAACGAGTACAGTGGGAATACCAGATCGGTCCTTGCGAGGGTATCGAGATGGGCGACCATCTTTGGATCTCCCGCTTCATGCTTCATCGCGTATGCGAAGATTTTAACATTGTAGCCTCACTCGACCCAAAACCCGTAAAAGGAGACTGGAACGGAGCAGGATGCCACACCAATTTTTCTACCATTGGTATGCGGGCCCCGGAAGGATTAATGTAAATATTAATAATAAATGTTTATTTAAAAAAAATGCAGCCAACGTGATAAATATTTTTTCGAGAACTAAACATAACGAATTTGAATTACACTTTATGATTGCCTATTTTAATTATTTATTAATATAGGCCACATGTTGTGAAAATAAAAATTAATTTGATTTAAATATTTTTTTCATTTTAACTAAACTTAATGACATAATGCTTCACTTACAAATCAGACATTTTACTACAAAACCTTTTGTATATCGTTTAAACTTATTCTCGCAGTTTAATAAGTAGAAATTATAGTGGCCTTTCCGAAGTTTAAATATTAAACAATACTCAAATACATAAACTAGTATATATCTTTTTTAATGTAAATTTCAACAATAATAAATTAAATATATAAGTTTAAATATTTAAAAAGAAAAACTTTCAACATACAGCCCAAGCATATTTTTAAATTTATATTAACTTAGGTCAATAGCATTCTTCTACAGAAGCTGTTACATTGAGTTGATTAAATTTTGGGATTATTTAGGTATTATCACCAATAAAAATTTTATTTTAGAATCTCCATTTTGATGTTTCTGACTTAGTTTTGTGTTAAATTATTAATTCCAGATGTGCCAGTCATTGTTTAACACAATTTGATATGTTCGATATATTTTTTGCGAGGATTTGTTTAGCATCTAAAAAATCTTTTGAGGTCCGTTTATAAATATTTGATAAAATTTTATCAATATATTATCGGGTTTCTCCACAAAAATGCGTATATCTGTTTAACCTAGGATTCTTTAATAGAGCAGTAAAATTTTAACATTTGTTCCCTTACACTTTTTACCTCTAAAAAAGTCCTTTAAGTAGATTAAATATATATGAGGATCAATTAGAATTTATATGAATAATATCCCCCATCTTTAATATGTTTTATGCAGTATCCGTAACTACGCTTATAACGCTGAAAATTCTTAATTTTATCTCAAAACCGATCATTTTTAATTTGATTTTCTTTTATTTGTAAAATGTTTAAAATACTTTTTAATACATTTTAAATTAAAATTTAGGTATTCCTCTTTAGTATGAATAAAGTTATCACAAAATAGGATTATGTAAAATTTTTATATATAAATCCTTAAGTTTAGAACTTTTGTCTTATAAAATTCAATCTTTTTTAAAAATGATTTAAATAAGTAAAAAAATCAAAGATTTAAACAAGATAAATCATTTCGTTAATATTTTTGTTAGTTTTCTACTTTTCCATCCTTATTTGTATTTGATTTATCTGATGTAATGGTTTGATATTGAACAGTTATTTTTTTTTGAACGCTAAGAAGCGTCGCATTTATTTTGTAACTGCCTATTGCGTAAGCGGAGTGCCAAATTTAGTTAGACTTAATTTTCTCTCAGTTTCATCAAAATTTTATATAATATATCCCAATAAATAAGATCAAAAATTATAGTGCATTTCTTAGAAAAGTTAACTCGATTTTAAATATTAAAAACCTTAATTATATCTAAAATTGCTATTGGCTCATTGAAAATAGGATAAATTATACATTGTTGATGAATTTTAATAAGGAGGGAGGGGGAAGGAAGGGTTATTTAATTTAAACTTATGCGTCATAACCTTGTTAATTATATATGCTAATTATATCCTCAAGTCATGTCATCGTTAGGATTTTATCTTATAAATTATTATCATCTTAAATGGCATCGTTAAGATTATATCTTTTATAGCTTTGGTAATATGCCATTTTTCTTCTTATCTTATAATGCGATATAAATTATTTATTTCATCATCACACTTAGATTTCTAAAATATATAATATATTTTTTTAAATATAATAATTTTCAATAGGCCTTAAGATGTATAATTATTTTTAAATATCATCATTAATCCGGAATATTACCAATTTTAAGCAGAATTTTTTTTATGAAGAGGAATAAATCAAAAGGCATAAGGTCAAGGTTAGTTAATGCTTAATTGACTGGTAAAACATCTCTAGTCCATGGATACTTGTCTTGCAATTCTAAGTTATCATTTTGATTTCTATCGGCATCTAATATCATTCCTTTCAGCCAAAAATAACCTAGAGGAAATAGAACTCAGGTCTGGGGAATAAAAGTCTGCCATCTTATTTTAATCACTCTACACCATGTTTTTTTAACATAAATTTGTAATTATATTATCAATATTTGGTTCCGGTCAAACTTTATCGCTAACATATACTTCAATCAAAATTGAAACTTCTGATAAGGAGGAATTGTTAACAAAATTTTTTCTCAGAATTTGAATCCTTCCATGTCATAGACGAAATCATACAAATATTTATTTTTTCCTTGCTATATAATGTTACAGCGAAATCGAAGCTGCCGTCGATAAACTTTCAACCCAACACGATCGTCATATCAGGTGTTACGATCCTAATAAGGGGGCAGACAATGCCCGTCGATTGACAGGCGCCCATGAGACAAGTCCCATTACCGATTTTTCAGCGGGAATTGCTAACCGCGGATGTAGTATAAGGATCCCACGTCAAGTTGGCGAAGATCGATGTGGATACTTGGAGGACCGCCGACCTGCCTCGAACTGCGACCCCTACCTGGTAACCGAAGCTATAGTCAAAACTGTCATTTTGGGCAAATGGGAAGACGATTGAGCACAATTTGTTATTTTTGTCAACTTTCTCAATTAAATTATATATTTTTTTGAATTTCATTTTATGGTATATTTTTTTTGATGTCAGAATACCATATAATATCTTATTATATTTTAAATTTTTTTACATAAAGTAATATATAAATCATTTTTTTTAAAATAACTTTATAAAATATTTATATTTTATCAATTGCGTCTAATTGGAAACATTAGTAATTTTATAAATTATATTTATTTTTAATATCTGTATTATGGTTTGTGAGAAGAATAAACAATCATTCAGTGGTATTTTATAAACCTGTTTCCCACCCATAAAGTCAATATATATTAATAACTTTGATCATTATCTTAAATCGTCAACATCTGCAATCAGGGAAGTTTTTCTGACTACTCGTGATCTCCTTAATATTTTAAATACTATCAAAACTTATTTTGCACGATTGTATAGCATGGCTGATTGAAGTGTGATTATTCCTTCCTTCCTTTTTTAAATGTTATTTATATTTTTCCATGTGTAAAATTAAATTTATGGTAATCAAAAAAGCCAACATTGTTATTTCTTTTTATATACTATATAATATTTTGTTGATTTTAATTTTTCTTAAAAAATTATTTATTAAGGTCGGGTCAAACCATATGCACTTTTTTTTGGTCCCCAGATGATTTTAAAAGGTAGTTGTAAAATTTTTCATTTTTTGATATATATTAGACAAATTATTGCAAAATTTTAATTTGTAAAAATTGTTAGGCTGTATTTACCAAGTTTTGAAATTTAAAAGTGTACACCTGTTCATGCATGAATATTTCGATTTTATAAATATTGTTATTATAAAAACAAATTCCTTATTTATCTTATTAAATTCGTTATTTTCAAAAAAAAATAAAATGTTATCGAATCTTTCATTTATGTCTTTCGCGTATTTAAACTGTGTTAAGGCGAAAACTGTTCATTTACTAAGAAAGCAATATTAATGCATTAGTCCTAAAATATCAGATAGAGATGATTTAACCCTTCCCTGGCCCCAATTTGAAATATATTTTACATACCTTAAGAAAATTAAGGGTACAAAGTCTACACTTTGTAAATGTAAAATATGTATCAACGCAAATTTTTACCTCAATGTCCAGCACTTCAAACTTAAAAAGAATATGAAGGTAATAAGATGAAGTAATATAATATTATCTTAAACATTACTTTAATAATAGAATATTAAATCAATAGTATCATAAAATAACCATTAAAAGAAGTATTATTTCATAATATTTTGAAAAGCTTAATCATGTAAATAAAATATAAGCAATTTACTATAGTATAGGGCTGGCAACAAACATTAAAAACCAATTAACAAAATATTAATATTGGTTCAAAATATTAAATTGGGTTTAAACTATATCTTCTATTTCTTGTTTTAGTATTACTATTAGTTTAACTTCAAATTGTTAATAAATTCAAAGAATAAAATAGTGATTTTAAAAATCTTTGTTTAAATAAATATGCATATTTAAATTAAAACTGCAATATTGTTTTAGAGAACTGATAGAAAATTTTCCTGATTCCTTTTTAAATGATAATTCTGAAAAAGATAAGAAATTGAATAATTATCTTTGGCAATCATAATTTCAATTTTTAATGTTTTCCTTGACAATAAGTTTAGTGAGGATTAAAAAATGCAATTACATTTTTAAAAGATTTATCTTCAATTATTGAAAAAGCAAAGTTATTTTTAATAAAAAATTCATTAATTAATAATATTTTAATTAAAAAATTATAAACTGTACATTCCTCAAAAATGAGATTAATGAGCATTTGAATAGTAATATTAAAAAAAAATTGAAGCCAATCAACTCATAGAGATGCAGAATCTATCTTCATCAAAGATAAAAATAGCACAATCAGCTGTTGATGAATAATTTTTAATTTTGTAATTGAAAAATTACAACATTTCAATTGTAGAAAACACTGCATTTATTAATCAAAAAATTGCAGTCAACTAAAATATGTGATATATAGGCCCGACACTCGTATTAAAAATTAACAAAGTATAATGGCGAAGAAATAGTGGATTTATTGTATATCCCAAAAATTGCATGTACAACTGGATTCTTGGTCAACTTATCATCAGGGGCGTCGCTAGCTTTTACAATTACAGGGGGCTCAAATAAAAAATATTTATGGGGGGCTTTGCCCCCATACCCCCTAATTTGCGAGCCTTCGGCCGGGTTTTATATTAAAATATTATATTTTTAAAAATTGATAACTGAACAATTATTCTGAATTTCATATTTTGTCATTTATTATATCCATCAAAATAAAATAGCATATAAATAATTAAAACAATACAAGACATTTCGAAATATAATATTTTTTAATACAAAATCTATTCGCTGATAAAAAAAAATTTTGCGTCTAAAGAATTACAAGTGATAAAAAAGGTTAATTAATTCATACAGTTGCCTCAATTGATAATGGTTTTTAAAAACCACATAAGGCAATATAATTCTTAACAACTTACATTGACAAATGGTCATGAAACTAATATATTTCTCTGTTTCCATTTTACACAATGATTTATAGAATGGAGCAATAAAGAAAATTTATAGACCAAATTAACAATTCTTGAAGAAGAGAATATAAACGACCAATCCAAATCATAAAACTATATGGTGTTTAGAACTTCCTCTTAGATAACATGATGGAAGCTAGATTACTAATCGAGAAAATTATTGTGAGATATTATATTTCTAAGAGATTATCTTCCATTTTTAATGATATATAAACGACCACCAAATAACCATTATTTCTTATCTAAAATATGCTCTCAGCAGCTATAGTAATAATCTTAAATTATATAGCCACACAAATAATAGATGCTAGATAATTTGCATTCATAGCCATGATACTCACGATGTTAACTCGTTTCAGAATTTATTATGTTACATAAATTGATAAAACAAAAACACTAATTAAAAGAAATTATGCAAATATATTGAAGCCTTTTATACATGGCAAGGATGCTATATTAGAAATGAAACATTTTGTAACTATAAAATAAGAACCAGAGTGATATGATGAACGCAATTAAAATTTTATATATTATTGTCGCACCACCTCTAGTTGGTATATAGTAGCTTGTAATAATATAAAAAATATACTCGTATTAAAAATTTAACTCAAAACTGTTTTTCAAAGAAGAAAAAATAGCTTTCCATCGTAAAAAAGGAGAAGAAAAGATATCTATTTTATTACATCTATTGTGGGATGAATAATAAGATGTTTAATTTTTAATAATATTATTAAATAAATAGATGGTGTTAAAGAATTAAATGAAAATTGTTACTTATATTTATTATCAAAAGTTTATTAGTAAAATTTATAAAAATATTAATTGTAATATATAATATAACTGTCAAATACGTCTATAAAAGTGGAATTTTACCTAATATTTTATAATCAATTATATATAATAGAGGATTCTAAACTATATGTCTACTTACTTTTTATAAAGAAATCTCTTATACTTATTTGGACCTTGACAATATTTTTAGGAAGAGGCGTAATTAAATTTAAAAATGAATATTATAGTTGATTAGTGATTTTGAACTCGGATACTTACAATATTAAAATTGCTAATTTTCAATTAATAAATGATTATATTAATTTAATTAGGGTTATATTATAATTTAAATAATAAAAGTCAATTAAGCTTCAACTGTTAATGCTAAATTAATATTTAGTGAGTGATATTTATATTCTATTTTTAACATAGAATTTGCAAGCTGACATAGTGAAAATATAATTTATATGTATTAATCTAATCTAATAATTAAAATAGTGTTCATTTAATAAAAATTTAGATAGTCTCATTAATTTTTAAATACTAAAATTAAATCGATATATTATATAGAATTATAAAAGAAATCGTTCAGGGGGCAATCAAAAAAATTTATTTTTAGTTCAAGGGGATATAGGGGCAATTTAAAAAAAAAATTTTTGCTTCAAGGGGCTATTCAAATTTTTCAGGGGGCTCGAGCCTCTGCGCGCCCCTCCCTAGTGACGCCACTGCTTATCATCGGTATATAAAATATAAATTTTATAGATTGATAATATTGTCTTAAAAAGAGTTCTTGGGATGGCGGTACACTGGCTCCACCCAGACACTCGTGAGAGAGTTTCAGCCTGCTTAGATTGCAAAAGGCGAAACCAAAAACCCACCTTTGATTATATAGCAAAATAATCTTTGAAATTTTTACTACATATTAGATACAAAATAAAGTGACCAAATGCATTACCGACAATGCTAGAATTATAGAAAAGCTTTCAAGGAAAAAAATTATAATATATTTATTAAAAATTATTAGAGTATATGAACAAGGAGAGGAATCGAATTATGAAATAGTTCCTCTGCCATTATTTGATCTATTTGAAAATCAAAATATTAATGATAGTATTGTATACTTATCTAGCATCATTTCTGTTCAGCACACACTTTAAATCCCATTGCAAGTGTTGACATTCAGAGGGCACGTAACGATGTCCATTTTAAAACCATTTCAAAAATTACATTTACTAAGTATAAGCTTTTGTGGAATAAACATGGGCAATCTTCAATTATGCAGCCATTTTTAAGGAAAACATGGTAAGATATCTGATACCGGTTATAACAAGATGGAACTTGTTAAATAATCTGATTTTGTTTGTTATACCTTTCGGTAAAATAAATTTTATTTTTGATTAACGTTTTTTTATATATCATATTAACATTACATTCTTTGATAATCAATTTGTATTTTTATTTTACATAATTGGTTATTTTTTTATTGTTAAAAAAAAGATATAAAAGGAAAATTGTATTTGGTTAAAAGAGGAAAGAATAATATGTAATTTATAATAAAATAAAAAAAAATTCTGTCTTATTCTAATAATATAAATAGAGAAATCTATCCAAATACATCATGGAGGCCAAATTACGTCCGAACTTCGCGTAAGTATTATCTCAAAATTCGATCTTGATTTTGCAATGTACATGAATTTTATATTACGCTTTTATCGATTATAATTCTTTTACGATGGATGCATTGAATAATTCCATATATATAACCAAATTCGTTGATTTCCCTAAATTTAGTAGCGATGACAGCGCTTACATAGGGAAATTTCAAAAGTTCTTCGACACTAACAAGATCTCCAACGGAGAAAAGGCCGCGTTGTTTCTCCAAAGTCTTCCAGATGACGAATTCAATAACATTGGAGCAATTTGCACGGAGGCAGACTTCCAGAACCCAATCGCTCTTCTTGGCAAATTCAAGCTACAACATCCGTCGAAGACTAAGAACGCCAAACTCTCATTATTTTATGCTGCTACTCAAGGCAAGGAGGAGACGTTTTCGGCTGGGTCACACGCGTAGCCGACTCAATAAAGAATGCAAATTCAATGGTATTCAGCACATTATTGAGAAAGGGAGAGTTGCTTCGAATTCTAAAGATGTCAGAAAAGCAATCAGGAGCTCTATGACTATAGTAGATATTTACAATCTAGGTCTAGAGGAAGACACTGCGGAGCCAAGTGACATCAAGGGCGTGATGAAATTGTTTTATTTGAATGAATCACTCAGTGGCGTAGCTACGGGGGTGGTTTTCGGGTTTGGACCCCTCCCAGAGCAAAAATTTATTTTTAGATTATACGTTCAAAAGACTTATAAGTGGTGACTTTATATCAAATAAATACCAATAATATTTATATTTTTCTGGTTTTGATGTTTGTGGAAGAGTATTTTATTACTATTGAAATTATCTGGATAGTATTATTATAAAGTCATTGAGAATAATCTACTAAATTATAAAACAAATTATTGATGCATTTAAAAAACATATTTATTATATATTATCGAAGATATGGTTATGA